GATTGATCTCTTGATCAAACTGTAACTTAAAGTCCAAACAAGCCAAACTGAAATAATTAGTTTGGCAGGGCAGGAGCAAGAATTTCAGACTTGAAAGCATGGCAAAAATCACACAGTTGGGAACACAGCCAGGAACACAGATAAGCCACAACAATACAAGTCATGTTTGCTCCCAGCAACCTGCCGTACGCAGCTTGCCTTTTTTATACACTGTCTTCCCAGCTGCAACTAATGAAGGGCATCAGGGCCCTTTCCTCTCCTGTAAGCCATGCAACTCATGTTGCTCTCTTCTCTGTTCCTCCCTGTGTGCCCTAGGATGAAGAGGGAGTGGATCTGGGTCTTCCTCTGAATTCCCTCTCCCTTGTTCTATCTCTCCCCTGCTCTGCCCAGGCAGACTTTGTCCTTCCCCAGTTTCCTCCACAGCCAACAAAGCCAAACTCCCACTCCCTGACAGCTCTTCGGCTTCCTCCTCAGATTCAGACTCCAACAGGGGCAGGACAGTTGCAGTGCAGTTTCAATCAAAAGACCTGCTAGCTAGAAAGTTAATTTGCAATTAAGTTTTTTTTTAATTATTTGAGGGTCTCTAGGTATGTCAGCAGTCAAAAAAGCAGATATGCTTCAATGTGACTCTTAATTTGTTGTCATTAAGACTTTGGATAAAGGGCCCATTAGGTCAGTTGTCTCATATGCACATTAGGAATGGCAGTCACATATGGCAACAACAAGCTCAAGGTTACACGGAGACCTCAGCAAAAACAAAATGTAAACACTGGAGAGTGGGGGTGGGATCTACAACTCATGAAAATATGATTCCAGCCAGGACCTTGATGGAATTTACATGGCATTTTATTTCAAATGCAAGTTTAACTTTCAGATCAAAGGAATAAAATAACACAATGCATTAAGGAAAAGTAGGAAAGACATTGATTGCTATTGGTAATATACTGTATAATGGCTACATTCCTGCTGCAATTATACTTTGTGTAAATTATGAAGCCCATTAATGGTATCGGAATGTTTATGAATGTTTACATGTTCATTCATTCATGGCAAATAAGTGGAATTTTTGAATAGTCCTGTTCAAATGAGGGGAGGATGGGGGGAAAGGAAGATTGGTTATAATCAGCCTTTTAAAGTAGTCCAGAAAATAGAGTATTTGAGCTCTGTGCTTGTGAATAATGGAGTTGGGGGGAATAATACCTATTTTAATGGATGCAGCCAATACTAATGCAAATGTAAAAAAATTACTTCTTATGAGAATGCATTCTGGATATTAGAATATTGATAATATCAATATTTCTCCCAAAAGGAAAGTCAAAGTATGTTTAATGGGTCACTTCTCATAATATTATAGCATTATAGTAAGCTCAGCATGTTAGATGAATGCAACACTTAAGAATTATCCCTACATGGATGTCCAGAAGTGGCAGCAAGGGATGGTACACGATGTCCTATCGGTCATGATTTTGCACAAATAGCATAATTTGCAATTAAATTATTGCATTGTCAATTAACAATGGTTGGTTGTGGGAACCAATCCCATTGCTCAATAAGTCATGGCTTAGCACTATATTGGTCAATATAATAGAACTTAGTTGGGTTAGCATAATTTTTACAATAAATATTCCTGATTATGGTAAAAAGCAATTTGGGATATTAATGCTTAAGCTGTAGGTGTCAGGGTGTCCAAGTAATATGCCCATAGCAAACAAAACTCCAAGGCGGGTAAGTTCCTGAAAGAATAGTTTTATTGGATATATCATATTGGCACAATCTGGTGAAAACTGATTCTGAATGTTCCTGTGATTTTCACCTAATTAAAATTGAAGGCCCCCCCTTTTCAAATGAACAGACACATGGTCCAATCAGGGTGCCATCTGGTGCCTGGTACCTTTATTCCTCCTTCATCCGGCCATCTGTAGATTCCCAGGAGAAAGTATTTTGTGTTGGCTACAAAACCCCAGTTATCTAAATTCCTCCCTCCCTATCCCTCAGCTCCATTGTGGCAACACTGAAACATCCAAGATGGCTTCGATCAAGTCAGCTTCAGGGTTGACAGTAAGACTTTTGCTCAATGATTTTGGACATCATTTGACAACATATTGTAATAATGGCTTTTTTATATATAGATTGGAATACCCATGAGCTATGCCCCAGTGTATTACAGAGTTGTTGCTTTTTGTTGTGATATCTTAAGCAACTAAACAATCTACCCAGAAAACTTGCAGTGTGACAAGGATTAGAGGAATAAAATAGGAAAAATAATGTATTCCTATCCTATAATTTAACCCATTCTAAAAAAGAAAAATTATTCAATTTGGAACTACAAAAATCTTTAATAAATGTATCCATCTAGAAACAAAGAATAGAATAAGCAAAAAGTATGTTAAAAGCCAACTGATGCTTGTCCTATTTGATGTTGTGGATCTCAAAAACCAGCACTGATAGCAAAACAAAACAAAACAAATACTTCTGGGAAGCATATTTTAAAATTCCTTTGGTGCATTTCACACACCAAGGTCACTGCCAACAAGGAAGACAAAACAATTAATCTTAGGGTAAGATACATATCAACAGCAGGAGCACATACTGTGTTTATTTTCAAAAGTGTTTGGAAACCAGTGTCCTCCTCCTGTTCTCTGCAGCAAAGGTCACACCAAGTTTTGATCTTTCAAAATGAGTTTGACAAGACTTGCAGGAAGAAGTCTTTTTAGAATAAGAGAAAGTTCTATATTGCCTTGTTTCACAAAGGTAGACTGAAGTATTTTCAGTACCAGGTTATGACTGCATTGTCCTTAGGAGCCAATAAAATGTATTTGCTTCCATCTGTAGCTTCACCTGTAATTATGGCTATAAGAGTCTCTGCAGGTCAGGCAGGACTAGGATAACAGCCACAATTATCCTATCTACAAAAGGAACATCTATCCATAGAGGCATTCGATTTGTGATTGTAGGATTTCTGGGGCAAACATTGTTATTCTTGCTTGAAAGCCAAAAATCTTCTTGGCAATTTTGGAAAACATGGATTTTCTGCACTCTTAAAAAGTACAATTATTGTAGGTAGAATGCTTTGAAAGGACATTATGTTCTAGTAAATGCCATTCCACATTTCTGCAGAACCAGATCCTCCGTACCCTTGTCTCCAGTAAGATATCTTAGCTCTTACTGCAGGGATGTCAAACTCAAGGCTCGCGGGCTGGATCTGGTGAGGTGCTTAAATCTGGCCCACGTCCAGCGTGGAAATAGCAGAGGACTGGCCCACGGTGTCTCTGGCAGCCAAAACAGGGTGAGGGGGGCTGTGCATGCCCCCATACCTCATTTCTTGCCTAGACAGCCTCCTGAAGTACCTGTGCCCCATTTTGGCCATGGCTCTCCGCATCCCCCCATGTCCCATTTTGGTTGGCAAAGTGTTGCAAGAGGCTGACCAGGCAAAAAATGGGGCATGGTGGGGTCACACACATCCCCCCATGCCACATTTTGGCTGGCAGGGTTCTGTAGGAGGCATCCGTCCCAGCTCCCCCCTCTCACACACACCTGGCCATCCTGCAGAGAACTACAATGCTGGTCTGGCCCTCAAAGAAATCCAGTTTGACCCCCTGTCTTACAGGGATATCAACTTGATCTGACCAGATAAGGGATCTTTTGCTGATAGTCTTTCTTTATCTGTTATCCTTCTTTACTGCCTGGGGCAGATTCCAATGCATGTAATCAAACTACAATTTTCATTGCTTCCAAATAGGTACACATTGGTTTATTTACTAATTTATTTACTTATTGGTTTATTTACTTATTTACTACATGCTGATTTCTCTGCTGAGTTCCCAGCTGAAGTGTAATGTGGCAACTGATAAGTAGAATGCTATCACCATCAAGGGATACACAAAGGAATTGTACCTTTTTTCATGGTAAAATTGCAAAAAGTGTACTGTAACTTATGAACTGCAGACTGCATTTAAAGAATCTACCTATAAAGTACAAGATTCAGCATCATCCCTAAATTGTAATATTGGTTTTGGAGATGAAAAACTGGATAGTGGGTCTTGAACAAACCCCTAGTTTTCCAGGAAAGTGCATTTTAAGTAACTGTTTTATTTCAAAGTGGTAAAGGAAGCTTTGTGTGTCAAGAAAACAGCAGAAGAATGTCTATAGAAGAGAATTAGAAGCAGCTCTTCAATTTCTGCCTAGGATATCTGAGATCTGTACTATACCACTTTGGTGGGATTTAGCATGTGGGAAGAAATATCCATCTGGTTCAGTTCCAAGCCAGGAGGAAAGCACTGGAAATAAAATGGAGGCTGGAGGCTGATTTGAAAGAGTGTCCATTTATTGATGAAGCAGAACCACCAAGCACATGTGATTCTGGGCAGCAGATAAAATTGAGTTAAGAGTGGGTGGCTTTTATACCTTCTTTTGGGCTTTATATTTGAGCTTCCTGTTCCTGTGCAAGAACATGTCCTTTAATATTCTACTGGCTGTTGTCAGATTCCTATGGGGTCATGTAGGGGTTATGAAGGGGTCATAACTGGTGATATAGGCAAAAGAGGAAATGCAACTCCTAGGTGCTTGTCTGAGCTAAGTTTGGTTGAAGTTTCGACTGCTCTGGGGGTGGTGCAATGTGTGAAATACCCTTAGGAGATTGTGCGATGTATTGAGCTCTGTATTTTCTACTAAATGGTAGTGGGTTAATCCTATTATGTCCTGAAGGATCATGTCCTGTTCTTAATCCCATCACCCTGAAGCTGAAGGTCTTTTGTTTTGTAGATAGGCTGGTCCAGTCTTTAATGGGCACAAAATATCTGTCTGCTTCCTGCCATGTTTCTCCGTTTTTCATTTAGGGAAATATAATATTCTGCCTTTTTTAATATTCCTCAAAATATTTCATTCTTCTAGGAGGGGGGCTTCGCACAAGCAACAAGGATAGTAGAAGGTATTAATAGCAAGATGGAAAAAATATTTCCAAACAGTACTAAGTTGTCTTTATTTGTGTTTTATTTCCACAGTTGGAATTATCCAGCACAGCAATCCTTCATCAAATCCGGAGGGATCAAGTGACAGATACATGTCGAGCCAACAGCATGTCCAGCAAGAAGCGCCGTGTGCTGACACCTAACGATCTCAAACATTTAGTGGTTGATGAGGCTCATGAACTGATTTATTGCTATGTCCCCAAAGTGGCCTGTACCAACTGGAAAAGAGTCATGATGGTGTTGACTGGGAAAGGAAAATACACCGATCCAATGGAGATACCAGCAAATGAAGCCCATATCTCATCCAACTTGAAAACACTCAACCAGTACAGCATCCCAGAGATCAACCATCGCTTGAAAAACTACATGAAGTTCTTGTTTGTCCGTGAGCCTTTTGAGAGACTGGTGTCAGCCTACAGAAACAAGTTCACCCAAAAATATAACACCTCCTTTCACAAGAGATATGGTACCAAAATTGTGAAGCGCCAAAGGAAAAATGCGACACAGGAGGCTCTGCAGAAAGGTGATGATGTAAAATTTGAAGAGTTTGTGGCTTATCTCATAGACCCACAAACTCAAAGAGAAGAGCCATTCAATGAACACTGGCAAACTGTCTTTTCTCTGTGCCATCCTTGTCACATCCATTATGACCTCATAGGGAAGTACGAGACTCTTGAGGAGGATTCCAACTACGTTCTTCAACTAGCAGGAGTAGGAAACTATCTCAAGTTCCCCACTTATGCAAAGTCTACAAGAACTACTGATGAAATGACTGCAGAGTTCTTTCAGAACATCAGTTCAGAGCACCAAACACAGCTCTATGAAGTCTACAAACTTGATTTTTTAATGTTCAATTACTCAGTGCCAAGCTACCTGAAACTGGAATGAAATGTGGATACCGAGAGAAAGAAAAAAAGAAAGAAAGCTGTTTAATTTAAGATTTTTATTTGTCATAATTATGTATGAAGAATTGGTTATTTTGTAAGTTAATATTTTTTCTCTCTTTTTTTTTTTTAGTAATGCTGCGAGCAGCATAGTTGGAAATTTATTATTTAAATGGTTGGTAAGAAAGGACAGCCTTGTTTTCAGGGTAAGAAAATTGCAGTGACAATAGCTCTAGATGTGATAAGTAAGTGCTACACTGTTTTGGGGTGGAAATGTTCCTTTTGCCCTGATTTATTTTTTTAATTCTTTTTTTTTTTTTTGCATTCTTAATAAATCCGAGCCTTTAGGTTATTTATGCTTACAGAATAGATTCCTCATTAAAAGCTGAAATGCAATGCTGTTTAGGCAAAAAAAAAAAAAAAAAAAGAAAGAAAAGTTTCTTGTGTTCTTATTGCTGGAGTTTCCCTCTGCCTCTGTAATATTTTATTATTATTGGGGGTGGGGGAGGATAAATGTGCTCATAAAATTTGAAATGTTGCAATGTTGCAATGGGCAGTAAGGCCCAGGGGCTACAATAGATTTATGGATTTGGGAGCCTTCCGATTCTCTGCTCTGCAAGACATATAAAGATACATGCATTTGGGTCTCAGAACATTTAGACCAGGGGTGTCAAGCTGGATTTCTTCGAGGGATGGATCAGCATTGTAGTTCTCCTCCATGGGCTGGCCAGGGGGAGGGGAGAGTTGGGATGGACACCTCTTGCACCCTGCTGGCTAAAACGGGGCCACCATGGCCCATTTTGGCTAGCAGATTGCTGCAGGAGGCCATCCAGTCTGAAAACCGGGCATGGGGGGCTATGCACGCCCCCCGCCCCACCCTCGTGCCCTGTTTTGGCTGTTAGAGGCACCACAGGCTGGTCCTTTGTTATTTCCAGGCCGGCCCCATGGGCCAGATTTAAGCACCCTTGAGTTCGACACCCCTGATTTAGACCATTAAAATGTCATACCTTTGTGCATCCCAAATACCAATAGGAGAAGGAAAGAAATGTCCTGGAAAGCGATGGCATGACTCAGTCTCTTGTCCCCTAAAGGAGACAACCAAGCCAGAGACAATTGAAAGTTATTTGTGACTCCCAGTTATCCTTCGAGGAAGTCCAATAGGAAATGCATCTGATGAAATGATCACATGTGAGGAGGCATCATCCGATGGTTAGACACAAACCTTTTCAGAAACAGAATGTTCTTAAAGATCCAATTGACTGTTTCGACATAACAAAATTACTGTAGAGTTTTTTTTTCCTATGAATGAGACTTAGGAATATATATTTTTTCCAGAGGATCTGAGACAGGCCAGAGCAACAAAAGAATCTTTGGCTCTTTTCCTATTCAATTAAGCGCAGTCACTTCCTTTGCTTCATAACATATCTGAGCAATAGAACGACACGGTGCCTGCTCAGGAGTTCACATATCTATACACTGCTGTTTGCATCTGCCATTCTTCAGCTTGGGTCTTTGGAGAAGATCATTCCACAAAAGGGAAAAGGAGAAGAATGGGCTGCTTACACCCCACAGTTTAAAATGACAACCCAACCCTAAGCTTCACGCCATAGCAAAGAATAATATGCAATTTAGGAGCGCCTTTCCTGAAAAAGTCTGTATCATGTTCTGAGTTACAGCAAAAAATTTAAAAGGCTCATTGCATAGAGTGCAATATTAAATAATACCTAATCTTCTTTTCGGTGGTTACCTATATTCAAGAACAACAGGAGGGGGAAAAATCCTGCAGTAAATTTTATCTCAGTCCCAGACCTCAACAATAATTATTTTTAAATAAAGTTATATTTGTTACTTTTTAACATTGGGAACAAGAAGAAACACTGATTTTTACATATAAGTATGTACACATACACACACAAAAAATATTGTAATTTTGTGACTGAATGAAATGTGACTCTTATTGTGTAGAGAGACGTATATTCAAAATTCTACTTTGCTGGTCAAGTTAACATTTCTGCATTCCTACTTATTTGATTTCAAGATGTGTAATAATGATTTTTTTTATAAATAGCTGTAGTAATATTATTTAGGATCTCAGTTCTTTTAAGTAGTTGATTAGTCTGCTGTCCGCACATGCGTGTGCACACACACACACACACACACACACACAACTGTGGTTTTGTAGATTTATTAATATACCCCTGCAATTCCCTTCACTAAATGCCTAGAACTGTCCCAATTAAGTCCAGCCATAAGCAAACCAATGCTAGTCCATAGAGCAATGGCCAATTAGGCCACAACGCACTTGAAAGTTTCCCAGTCATAATTAAGTCACAAGGCAAAATTAAATCCACAATATAAGAGGGTTCACAAGGCAAGAAACGTCCAGAGTTCAGATCCAAGTTGAGGCACGGTGTCAATCCAAGCAAGGGAAGAATCACAACAACCAGAAAAACACAGCTAGGAAATGAACACATCATTCTCAGCATCGCTTCCGTCTGCTGTGCTAAATAGCCAGCTTTTTGGTGCAGCCCATCAAGAAGGATGAGGCTTTCTCTTCGTGATTAGTCTGGATGATTCTCTGCTCTATGTGTTCTTGGATCAGGTACAGAAGGCAGTTCATCTTCCTCATCACTGACTGGCTGCAGCTGCATGCATTCTCCACCTGAAGCCTCAGGGCTTGGAGCCATTAACCAACTCCCTTCCAGAGGTGCCTGGAATTGATTCATCTTCCTTCGAGCTGACATCTGGAGAGATATTTGGGCAAATGTCCAGGGGAGTCATCACAGTCAGACTGATCAAATGACTTTAATCAATTCATTGAAAGGTGATCCCAATTAATTAAATAGCAAAATTTTAAACTTGATAATTTTAAATAAAGGTTCCTCTCTAAACATAGATGGCAAGCATTTTAGGAAAAATTACTGTCTCTTCCCATGCTTTTAAGTAGTGCCTACCTGCATTATCTAAAACATTTGAAGTATTTTGCTTCAGAACTACTGATTTATATGCAAATAAATAAAATTTAATCAACCAATTAAAAGCATGTGATTAATCAACTGAGATTGATTTAATTGGATGATAACCCTAATATTATTGTTCACATGTAGCCCAACATATCCCAAATGAACACAGCAATGATTTTGAAAATCCAGCTTAGCTTCCTGAACTAAAGGTGAATATTTTCCATTAGTAGTGAAGATGAGACTGAAAGATACATAAAACCATGCCTTAGTGGATTTCAGAAATACAACAAGCAACTCTTTCCAGATTCTATTGTGTTTTGTAGCAAACTTAAACCTATGGCAAATCTATAAAGCTGTGATTGTCTTTGTTATTTTTTGGGAGAGAAGAATCCGGGTATTTCTATAGCAAAAATATTACATGGAGAGACAGATTCCTTTTTTCCAATGACATCATTCCAGTCCAGATTGGAAGCTCATTCTTATTTCACATGTAACTTTACTCAACAGCAGGACAGCTGTTTGTCTTGCCCAAGACTTCTTCCAACTTGAAACAGGATGGCCCATAAATCTCTGCAATATCTCAAAGGTTTTGGCCTATCCATTCATATGGTCACTTACTGGATCATAAACAGTGTGATATGACATGATTTAATGACAATCTAACTGGAGAAACTTTAAGAAACTGTAAGAAAGCAGGGAAGTAATTCCTATATATTAATCTACATCATCCTGATTTAAATTTTGGACTAATCCTTCATCCATGTGGTTCACTGAAATGTAGTATAAATTATTCAGTATCACTGATAAGGCTTTGAAAATGATTGGGAAGAAGTGCTTCATGAAGGTACAGCATTTTTGCTATTCATTAAAGTAGCCTGACATTTTTCAGACTTCCAGGCATAGCTCAAGCAAGCAAAAGTCTGAAAAAGGTCCAATGGCTTTAATGAATAACATTATCATCCAAAAATTGCAGCCGCCAGTTGTCAGAGCAACCTAGGACTGTACTAACTTATCAGCTCAGACAAATGTTCAATTTTAATTTTATTATAAAAGGAACTGGGACTCGAAAAGCTGCACAGCTAACTTTGCACACTCATGGGGATTTGAGATGTTTGTTTCAGCAGCCGACCAGCAGCTCAAAAAACACAGCATTTTTGAGAAAGGAAGACGTTTCAAAAGATGAATGTAATACTGCAGGAGGAGAGGGAGAGGGATCAGGTGACAGTTTGAGACTGAATACAGTGGTCTGGGCAGCATGCCTGCAGGAATTCATTCTTTCATTTGCTTGTAGGAAGTGTTTATTATCCCCTTCTCATATCCCCTTCTCAAAAGTAAGCAAGTGAAGAGGTTGCGTTAGCAAGGAGGAGCAACCAGCAGGTGATGTCCATGACTTTCACACATACCTGATCATGTAAGTTGTAGGTGTTTTGCTCAAAATCAACTTAGGATCCTGTGGGGAAATACGAAATCCGCTAGCATGTCTCCCATAGTTCTTTGGAATTGCAGTGATTGGTCCACCATCTCATTTTGGACAATCTTATAAAGAAGAAGAGGTTTTGTGGACTGCAGTATCAACAAATTAAAGTAATTATGAATCACTGTCATGAATGCTGCCTGAGAACTGATATTCTTAGAAAGCAAGTTGCTGATTTTGAGATCCTTCAGCAATTCCTCTTACATATCTTGACATTGTTTTATCAACACTTGACAATTGAGCATTTTCTAAATGTTTGTGGCTACACCTCCAAAACCTCTTGAAGTGCTGGTTGGAAGTGAAGTCCAAAACCTCTGGAAGATATTATCATACTTGCTTCCAATTTAAGAAATATTGGCCAAAATGTAATAAACTGGCTTTAGAACATTTAAAACAGTAAAACATAACCAGTTTTAAAGAGACCTTAAAATCCAATTTAGTGTCAGTTCCACAGAAGCATATGCAACATTTCTGTCACACTTCCAGCAGGACGTGGGAGTAATAGCATTCTCCCATGTTTATACCAAGAAACTAATAAAGCAGAGGCACACTGCTTCTTCTGAAAATATGTTTCAAAAAATGTTTCAGAAGAATGGCTTTGAATCATGTGCAAACACAATTACAAAATATGTTATTCATTAAACCAGGGATTCCCCAAACTTGGCAACTTTAAGACTTGGGGACTTCAATTCCCAGAATTCTACAGCCAGCTGGAGTTGCCAAGTTTGGGGACCTCTGCATTAAACTGTAGCTTTCCTAGGTTCTCAGGTTGCTTACAAAATGTGGCTCCTTTAGAAGCATAGAATCACAGAGCTGGAATCATAGAGCACTCTTTAATGAATGTCATTCTTGAATGAATGACAGAGAGAT